TTGCATCACAATATTCAAGAAGCAGCATGGTCTTCATCAGTAGCAAAAAAAGTTTGTGGAATGGAAATCTAGAATTGACCAAAGGGCAAAAAGAACGAGAATGTTATAGAAGAAATACAGAGGAAGAAGATTGCCTGGAAGCAGTAATTCAGGCAAAGCAAAAGGGATGGGAGGATTATGGAAAAGAACTTCCAAGAAAACTAAAATCTTTTCTATAGAACACTCAGAAACATACATAGAGAAAAAGAACTTGTGTTGAAAAACATTAGGGACAAGAACGGCAACATTCTCACCAACCCAAAACAACTAATAGAACACTGGGCAGACTACTTCAAGGAGCTTCTTAAATCTGAGAAAGCTGAAGAACATTGGCCACATATGGAGAGCCAGGAAGAGGAAGAAGATGACTACTTAGATGAGGAAGAAGTTGCAGATGCACTAGCAACACTGAAAGCAGGCAAGTCAGCAGGAATTGATGAAATCTCCCCTGAGATGCCGAAGTATATGGGTTCCAAAGCTATAGAAATCTTCCAGCATCTGATAAATCTAGTATGGAAGAAAAAGCAGTACCCAAAGATTAGGAAGTCGCCATTATCATCCCAATTTTCAAAAAGGGAGACAACAGGGAGTGCCAGAACCACAGAGAAATTCCTCTCTTAAGGGTACCATCAAAAATATATGCCAGCATCCTTGAAAAGAGGCTCAGAACTGTTGAGTCCTTGTTAATGGAGGGATAGTAGACTCAATAGAAGCACACAAGACCTGATATTTACCCTGAGACAAACATCAGAGAAGGCAATTGAAAAAGACAAGATGCTTGACTGATTCGTTTATCTGACTAAGGTCTTTGACAGAATCAGGAGTCCCGACATAGAAGAATGGGGTGGATTTGAGATTAAGGGAGGCCATTAGAAGCCTTTATAAAAATAAGAAGAATGTGGTCAGAACTAGCAATATGGTACCCAAAGAATTTCAACTTACTGTAGGAATCTCCATTTTGTAGTGGTATTAGAAAGAGCCGTGAGAGAAGCTCAGCTGGAAATGAGACCCTTTAATTTGGTTATAGGAGAATGCTTTCTACCCAGTTCACTATGCTGGCCTATGCAGATGACCTAATAGTTTTTGGCAACAATGGAAAGAATCTCCAGTATAACCTATGGGTACTAAGATATCGACTAAGAGAAATAAACATTGAGTTAAATTTAACAAAGACAAAAACCATGCATGTCGGAAGAAGGACCAAGCAGGGAGACAGTCATTAGACTGGATGGAATCCGGATACAACAGATAAGAGACTTTAAATACCTGAGAGTCCACTTGAACGAGAATGGTTGGGTGGACAGAGACATAATAATAATAATAATAATAAGGCTTAGCGAACCCGAAGGTTCGATGCCGACACCACCAATCGCTTGTTACACACCTCCCTCCACCGTTCGCCGTCCAAACCCAGTCCCTTCAGATCGGCTTTAATGCAATCTTCCCACCTTCGCTTCGGTCTACCCCTCGGACGCTTACCATTCGGCATAGCAAATATTAACCTTTTAGGAATTCTATCGTTACTAAGCCCAACAACTTTACAAGCCCATTTGATTCGCCGCGATGAAATTACATCAATTATATTACCCGGATACAGCTCACGCAATTCGGCGTTGTGTAACCGTCTGAACTCTCCGGTTAACTCATCCTTCTTCGGTCCGAATATTCTACGCAATACTTTATTTTCAAAAACCTTAAGACGCTGCTCATCCCTTAATGTAAGCGGCCAAGTTTCGCATCCATAAAGAACTGTAGGCAAGATAATTGTTTTATAGATTCTAATTTTTAAGTTTCGGGACAAGAGGCGCGAACTAAGTAGTTTTGTCACAGAAAAATAACAAGCATTCCCCGCCTTCAGTCTAACCTTAATCTCTTCTTCAATTTCGTTTTTTCTAGTTATCGTAGAACCTAGATACCTAAATTTATCTACCTGTTCAAACATATTACCATCTATATCGATATCACCAGTAGTATCGCCATTTTTGCAGCTAACCATATATTTTGTTTTATCCACGTTTATTTCGAGTCCTAGTTCTTTACCGGCTTTCATTAACGTTGTCGTATTTAGTTTTATAGTTTCAACGTCTTCGCTTAACAGTACCAGATCATCAGCATAGCCCAGCACGGATGTTGTCCCGCCCAGATCCAACCCTTTCTCGGTTCGCATTACCTCCCTAATGGCATGTTCTAATGCCAAATTGAACAGGACAGGCGAAAGAGAATCCCCCTGTTTTAAGCCCGAACGAACCTCAAATTTTTCGGACAAATTATTACCGATTCTAACTTTATTGAGTGTCTCCGTCAAGCACATCCTGACTAGATTTACTAGTTTTTTTGGAATCCCCTGCTCGATTAGAATATTATACAGTTTCTGGCGGTCAATAGAATCGTAAGCCTTTTTAAAATCTATATACAGCTGGTGAACAATACCGTTATACTCCAATTTTTTCTCTAATATTTGCCGTAAAGAAAATATTTGATCAATAGTCGAACGATTCCGTCTAAATCCGCATTGGTAGTCTCCGATAATTTCCTCGGCGTATTCCGTGATTCGACTGGTTAAGATTGAAGTGAATATTTTATAACATACCGGAAGGAGTGAAATTCCTCGATAGTTATTACAATCCGTCCTCGGACCCTTTTTGTGAATCGGAATAAGAATAGATTCTTTCCATTCTTCAGGTAATTTCTCGTTCACCCAGATCTTTTTAACCAACCGATGTATTTTAGAAACTCCAGCTTCCCCGCATGCCTTAATTAGTTCAGTAGGAATATTATCGATTCCCGCTGCTTTATATGATTTTAATTTTCCGATAGCTACTAAGAGAGAGAATTTAAGGTAGCCCAAAAATACTTTAATGCTGTTAGAAAATGCTTTTTGGGAAGAAGAGTTCTCCAAAACAACATAGGAAACAATCTTCAAAAATACATTTCTCCCAATCCTGACCTACTATAGCGAATCTTGGACCCTAACAAGAAAACATAAGAGCCAACTTCAAACGATGGATACTTTACTTCCATAGTGTCAAAGGAGAGACTGAGTGAGGAATACCACTGTCCGATCCAACACGGGTGGTCTGCAGTATGCAAAGGAAAAAATAGAAGAACATCAGCTAAGCTGGTTCGGACACTTCTTTTGGATGCCACAAGACAGATTAGCAAGGCTCACTTATGAGGCGCAGGTGGAAGGTAAAAGAACTAGAGGGCACCTAGGAAGGTGAAATAAAGGAGGCCTTTGAATGGAGAGGATTGGACTGGTCAAGAAAGCAATTGGTATAGGAAAGAGAAGTGTGGATCTCGCTCCACAGACGGAAGCCTTACACTGCTTAGTGGTTGATGAAAATATGTTTCACGCAACACACAACTTTCACTTACCACTCTACTTTGAATAAAAATTATTTTCTGGCAATGCTGGGCTATTAAAAAGTTTTTAAATGGAGCTAAATTAAAGCTTACAGATAACAAATCATTAAGACCATTAAAATTACAAAAAGTCTATTTATCATATCGATGGTAGGCAATAAAACTCAAGTTACTCCATCTGCTTTTATAAACCACACGTCAGTCTCTGAGATTTTCAGTTGACAGAATGACTAACTCCAATTTTAAGTAATGTCATTCTAGTGATATTTATAGTTGAAAACGTTTCCTATACAGACAGTGAGTAAGTTTATTCCAGAGTAGGTGATTGCTGTGTTGAAATATAGAACTATGAATAAAGGTATAAATTTTGCCACTAGAAACATCACTAAAATTAATAATAAAGAACATTGAAATTGGTGTTGTCATTTTGTCAATCGAAAGGCTCATATATGCCTAGAGAGGTGCATTGGTAGAGAGTGAAAATCTTATAAATGTATAAAGAAGATCTTTATGTGTATGATCCCTGAATTGCAAGTTACTTTTCTAAATTTTAGCAAACATTTAAAACATTAATGCTCTGTGTATATGAGCCTGATACTTCTTGACACAAATTAGTACAAAGACGCTTCTTCAGCCAACTAGGATTACTGTAAAGAAATGGATTTAGCAACATTTGAGTGCATTGGCCTCTTTGAACAAAACTTTGCAACCATGGTTCTTATTGACTGATTTTTATTTTGTTTTTTTTATTCTTCTCTTTCTCGCATTTTCGACTCATGGGGATTTCCCGGGCCATGGGGTTAATGACAGAGTTAAATACCCCTGGCACCGGGACCCGAACTTTTGATTATTTTATTGTATGATCTTCAGTTTATCTTATTGGCTGACTGAAAATTCTTAAGAGAAAGCAATACTTCTTGGCTATTACTGGCAATACTTCTTAGACTATGATTAGCCATTCAGTCTGAAACTTGTGATATTCCTAAAAAGTTTTAAAAATCTTTATATGTTCAAGTCCAGTGCGCATTATAGTTTTCAGATAACAGGATTTGAAACAGGCTTGTAACTTAATTTGCAGCAACAATGTAATGGAATACAATATTTCAATTTTTTTTTATCATCACACCCATTAAGGATAATATAATTATTTTAGATATAATTAATTAATATGGTTTGCTTATTCATATTTTGTTACCTAAGTTTCTCCCAAACCAAATATTGTTTCAATAGTAATAACAGTTGGGAAGAGGTAAAAAAAATGATAGCTTATGATTTACAATAAAATGTAGTTCAGAATAAATATAGTACTTTTTTTTTTATTTATTAATTATGGTATACTAAAGATTCTCACTCAAATCATGTCTTATAGGTTCCATTGGAGATAATTCATAATTTGTAAATACAAGGGCAGGCTTTACATAAATCATAGCAAATATTGTTACATTTTATTTATTTAAAAAATAAATAAAAAAGATTTTCTATAGGAAATTGATATTATAGTTAATAAAATGTAAAACAATCATAGAAAATTTGAAACATATATTTAACATAAATATGAAATGGAATTTACAATGTATTTATTACAACTTAACAATAATCTTGTCATAACCAAATTAATTAAATTCAAATGATTTACATATATTTATTATACAACATTATAATACAATTCCATGTCACAATGCTACACGATACTATCTGTATTTAAAATACAATTTAAAAAAAAATTACAATTTACAAATGAAAATTAAAAATATGAATCAAAGTCTTTACTGATAGGAAGGTGATTAGAAATCTTAAAAGAAAACTATCATCTTGCTATTCATTAATTTTTACACTAGTTTATCACATTAAATATAAATAGAAGTGATAAAAATTAATTCACTTCAGAAAATAACATACTTAGCTAAAATACATGGTTTATGTTATCATGACTAAAAAAACTTACAAGGTTTGCTTACAACATATCCATATTTTTTTTTTTTCTTTTCTGTTTTATAATTTATCCATTTTCTTAAAACTTGCTAATGAAATATTCTATGTACTGGAGCCGTTTTCTAAAAAAAAATATACATTTATATTAAAATAAAACAATACTAATGCTACATTTACTTTTGTACTAAAACTGTTAAATAAATGCTATGGTCTAACCATAGTACTAATAATGGTTTTGGTTAGGCAGAAGAAAATAGGTTCAATGGGCTTATTTTTAATAAAATGTCCGCCCCTTTCAAAAGATTGGAAAAATGCTCTACTAACTCAGAATTCCCTAATACTCTGCCTGCAGGCACCATTTTGCCTCTGAGGTCATGAGTGTCCTGTTAGCATTTAACCCATTTTTAATAATATATTCAGAATGTATATTTTTTAAGAATCTAATATGTAATTTAAAATATTATCATATTTCTTGGAAAATATTCATTGTTGATATCATTGCATTCAATGTGCCTTAAGAATAGTTAAATTATTATTAACTCTTATTTTATTATTTTAAGTTAGTTTTTATAATGTTATCTCAAAATATAAGTATAAGATTAACATCATAATTTTTAAATTATGTAAGTTATTAACAAAGATCACATTGATTTTAAGGTTTATATTTTTTTACTGTCATTACATAGGTATACAAACAATTTTATTTATATGTTATCAAAAATAAGGTTAGATATGGCACAGATTCCTCTCAAATTCAGTAAAAGATAGCATTTTACCTTAAAATTAGTAAAATATTGTATTTTAATAAGGTGACTAGGCAATATGGCATTTGAAGGACTCTGCTAATGCTCTTAATAACCAGTAAATATACCCATACCCTTAGGAGAAAAAAGGTTGGGACTCACTGATAATTAAAATTATTTTATCAACCTCGCAAAATGAAATATTGAAATAGAATGATTTGGATACATTTAAGTAGCTGATAAATAGATAAAATGTGAAACATTTACAATAATTCAAATGAATGTTTTCTACCATAACTAAAGGAGAAAGGGATTATAATGGCCTTAAGATTAAATGGTTTAAAGTACACAACTTCACTCCACCCCTGCAACATGTTCATGGTGATTGTAACAGCCTTGCTCTGTTGTCACTAAAGACTAGATTACCTATATTTAGCTTTGGTACAGGTCAATATTGTAACAAAATGGCAAAGAAAACAAAACTAAAAGATTACCTCTTAATGATTTTAAACAATTTTCAATAGCTGTTTTGAACTTGTTCGCAAGTAATTCATCCTTGAACCTTATGCACAAATTTTCAGACACGGGCTGATCATCACTCTTTTCAGGACAGTAATTAAGGGCAGACCAACAAAATGCTTTCTCAGATTTAGGTTTCAATTCAAAATCTGCTGGTATCAGGTGATTGCAAACTAATTTGTAAACCTGAAAAAAAAAATAATAAAAACAAATAAATTATGGTAAACAATAAAAAAACAAAAAAAAAAAAACAAGTGTATAGTTATAATTTCAAATATTTAGAACTTAGTTCCATAAAACAAAGTACATTCAACTAGCTAGTAAAAATAAACAACATAAGATATCCAGTCACATTTTTTTTTAATATATATTTTAGCCCAATTAATTTAGTTGTTTATGAATAAAAATGATTTATCAGCAGATTAGGATTGAAACAAGATTTTTCTTTGTTTTCTTTTTTTTTTCTTACAAGTAAAATTACTTATTAAATTTTCCTTTGAAAATAATAATTTTGTAATCAATCTTATACAGCAACATTCAACACCTAACAAAACATATTTTAAAGTAGCCTGAGACAGTCAATGAAAATCTAACTTTTAATTTGCTTTTGTTAAATATTTTTTCTAACTGAAGAGAGTAACTTGAAAACAGCATAAATATTTAAGCCTGGTAGTATCTAAGACCCCAAACTGGATTGCTGTAAAGCTGGGGGTGATGAAACAGCCAACACACTTTTTATAGGATGAAAATAAGACGCCTAAGTTGAACAGCAGGTTTTTGCTTCAGTTCATTGAATATTGTAGCCAGAGATTTCATCTTTGTAACTTTCTTCATCTTCTAACAAATACCGATATTCTTCATTGTAATTTTCATCGCCTTCTTTATGATCTTTCTAGCCTATAAATTTTTAACCTTTCTCTGTTACAGTTGAATCTTTTTATAGTTTCTTTTGTTGATTCGGTAAGTCTACAGGAATAGGAATGGAATCAGTAATGTTCACACTGATCAGACTTTTTTCAGGAACATCTGCTTTATTATTAAGAGTTATCTTGTAAAGTAGAAGGCATTGATTGGTGTCCGATTTCCTTATTTATCATCCAACAATACTCTCAATGGATCAGCTCAGTAAGGCATACCTCAACATATGTGAATAATTCTGAATTGTAAAAATAACATTGGTAGGTAAAATGACTTTGTGGAAAAATCTAATAAACATTTCTGGCTTAGGCAGGTGTGGCTCTTTCCTACCTCAAAATAATTTGAATTTTTTGTGTATTAGTTAAAACATTTTCATTATAATATCATTTTTTTATTACAAACATTCTCTAAATATGTAAAATAAAATATCGAAGAAGGGAGTACAACGATTAGAAAAAAATTATAACTTTACATAAATTTAGTCCTTAATAATTACCAAAGTTTACTTTTTCAAAAATATTTATAATTTTGCTTGACCTCTTATTAATTAATCATCCCATATCAACATAAACACTGATATTCTCTATTTGCTATCATGACTCAACTAAACTCCATTATTTAATTTTTCATTTCTTTTTAACCATTAAATAATTAAATTAACTTAACTCACTAAATTACAATATTTTAAATCATATGTTAATAATTAAGTTATTTTATTTTTGTGTATATAACTTAAGAGGTTAAAACAGCACATTAAGCAGATAAGTTGCGATACTTAAATATTTGTTATTGAAAGATGATAAATAAAAAACATAATAAAAGTTCAAGAACAGAAAATGAAATGGTGGAAGAAGATGAACAAGAAGAAGAAGATGAAAGAAGTGTTAATTTCAATGTGACTAAAGATGAAACATCATGGATGGCAGACATTGACAATTCAAATATTAAAAATGATCCAGAATTTACATTTTGCCTCGGAATCTTTGTCGAAGCACTTCCTGAATATTATGGTGTAATGGAAATGTTCAATGAAGCTGCAGTGAAAGGAACAAGGTGGAAAATAAAAGTCATCTCTAAAGAATACATAAGAAATGTTGTGCATAACAACTTAAGATCAAACAAATACAAACCATTTAAACAGCTTTGTACACAAATTATCAGGTATTACATGTCTAATTAAATTTATTAATGCTTGAGAAAATGTATAAGAACTTAATATTAATATATAAATCTTTAAGTAATGAATCATGGCTATAAAACATTATCTTAGATTTATTAGATGATAATTCAGTACATCAAAATGAAACAAACTACTATCAAACTTAAAGAAATTAATTTTTTTTTTTTTTTTTTACAAAAATATTACATCACATTGTAGAATAAAGATGATTTATAAATTAAAAAAATTAGAAATTTGTATCAATGATAATATATCAATCACAACATGAAATTTCAAGCATACTTAATTAAGAGAGAGAAATATTTAATTTAAAGCAGTGCTGCTCTACTAAGTAGTGTTGCTCAATATACAGCATACTCATCAATCCTTTCGGGACATGGCAAATAATTATACATTATTTCATTTATATATATCGACTTCCTTTATATATCTTGCCAACATTTTTTTTCTTCAGTGCTACCGGTTTTCTTATAAAATAAATGTTTTAGTTGACATCACTAGAGATGATTTCTTTCGAATAGATATTTTTTAGGCCGAGAATTAGTAATGGGTTAAAAATAGCTAAGATTAAATTGTTAAAACAGCAATCTCCTTCAGATTAGCAACATAATAAAAATAGAACATTTATCACTGTGAGATCTGAACCCTAATATGTAATCTAGAAAGAAGAATTGAGCAGAGGTAAGTCATCTGTACGATAAAGGAGTGATGCAGGATCAGAGCGATGTATTGAGAAGACTATTAAAGAAATTCTTACAGAAACTGATCAGTATATATACTATTCTTGTGGTATGAAGGCAAGGAGTTAAGATGGTTGGAGTATGTAAATATAACCCGAAGCAATCCAAGTAGATAGATAAAATCAACAAAGATGTGGCCGAGTCGATGCATCAAACTGGAAAGCAGTAGCCTTAGATAGAAAGGAGGACAAGACTGAGTTCAAGCAGCCAAATACTTACAAGACCTATAAAGCCAATAAAGAAAGAGAGAAAGAAAAATAATTCTAAAGGGTTTTCTGAAATTATATCTTAAGAATTACTTTCTTTTCCTTTTTCTTACTTTAATTCAATAATAGTTGCACCTATTCATGTCTTACAAAGTGGAAAGATTATTTGAATTCTTCTGAAACATTTTGTCAATATTCAGAACAGATCTATCACAGGCTATTCAGAGGTGTAAAAACTAAGTTGTCCGTACATTTTATGTGAACTTCTTTTTCCTAAATGGAAATATGTTATCAAATCACATTTACAGCAGTAGGTTTTCATTTCCACAATACTGCACTACTAAATAATATCTTATTACCTTCTAAAATAATCGAAACATAGAATTAGTAATGTGTATCAACAGTTTATTGCAAAAAGTCGTTAAGGACATTTTTTGATACAGATTAACTTTCAAGTATGTTTTTGTGAATTTTGACCTTATTAATCAATACAAAACACTGTAAGTACATGAAAATGACACATACCCTTTTATTTATTATAAATTGTCACTCTATGCACACAATTTTAAGATTTCACAAAGGAAAAATTCATCAAAGTTCTTAATTATTTGAGTATATGAAATGTTACTTAAAGACTGTGCAGTAATAAACTGTTGATATTACCTGATAGTTTTTATAGCCGTAGGACTAATCATTTCACTACCCATCTTATGAATTAAGACCATACATATTTGCAATCAGGGAAGAAAATATATATTCATTTTATTTTTATCTTCAAGTTACGCTGGCTACGACTTAGAGAGGAAAGTACCTACAAAACTCCTAGCTTATTTCATAATGTATGAAATAAGAAGGTTAAAAAATGTCTATAACCAAATGAAGATATATACAGCGAAAATTGAAGAAGAAAAACTTAAACGTTTGGAAGAAGCCTTTAGTTACGATTGTTCAAAATCAAGTACTCAAATCTTAAATGAACCATCAAAAATTAACGATCTAACTACCCAAAGTCAGGTAATAAATGCAACAATAAATAATATAAATAAAAATATTCCTAAAAGATACTCAGATGAGTAAAACTATACATTTTTCTGAACACTATTCACAATAATTAAAATAATAGTAGATACAAGAATTTTTGTTTTGTTGAATTTTTATTTATTTATATTTGGAAACAGAAAACAGCAAACAGAAGTAGTTTATTTTCTTCAAACAACTATCCTAATGAATGAATGCAATAGCCTTATTATTATTAGAATATTTTCTTTGATAATCATTCCAATCTTTCTTGATATTCCACAGTCTTCAAATATATAAAGATTTAATGTTAGCAAGAAAGGGCCTTAAGGGACTGGGTGGGATTAAGTTGACCTTCCTGAGTAGAGGAATAGGAGTGATGATCTTACCACCACTAACTCTAATTAATACGATCAGAATTCATGAAGGCTATTGGTGGTGAGAGATTATACAAAAATCACAATGAGCCATAAAGGAAGTTTTTTTTCAATTCCTGAAGAAATTGCTTTAATGATAAGAAATAAAATATCTTTATTTAAGTTCTAACACTGCCGAACGAAGTTTTTTATGAAAATGAGTAACGTATCAATCATCAACTCATTTTTCATCGAATTATACCTATTTCAAGAAGCTACAGAGACTAGAAATGAGAGAAAAAACAACACCACCTTATTATCAACATTCCACAATGTTAATGACTTAAAATGAAAAGGTGAAGAGTTGGTGAGTCAAAAAATGATAAAAATGTGGTGCAAAAAGTATTTTTTTTCGAAATTAATGAATTACGAGGACGGATATCACAGAAACTATAGTAAAGTATGGCAAAAAAAAAGTCTGGTGACCGCAACACACAACTTCACTTACCACTCTACTGCGAATAGAAATTATTTTCTGGCAAGGCTGGGTTATTATAAAATTTTTGAAGTACATTTTAAATGGAGCTAAAGCTTAAAGCTTGCAGATAACAAATTATTAAGACAATTAAAATTACAAAAAGTCTATTTATTATATCGACGGTAGGCAAAAAAAATCGAGTTACTCCATCTGCTTTTATAAACCACACAACTTCAGTCTCTGAGCCTTCCAGTTGACAGAATGACTAACTCCAATTTCAACATTTTTGAG